TGTGTGGATTTCTGCAGCACTGGCTTCATGCTCGTAGGGTGCTCCCCTTTTTCTCCCCAGAGGGAGCTCAGTTGACAGCTTACCAGGGCTGGGTGCTTTGTACCTGGTTTTCTTCTGATGCAGCAAATTTCGGCTGTCTTCCACATTAATGAAGTGACACCAGGACTCAGAGCTGGGGTTGGTTTGTCTTTGGAGTCACGGTAGAGGGCTGCTCTGGTGGTTGAACCTTCCTTGTAAAGAACTGCAGATCTCAGCCCACAGCCTGTGGTGGGGTCAGTGCGCATCAGAGCTGTGCTGAGCTGGTTGGGCAGGGCTACGAAAAGGAAGGGAAGCCCAGCTGAGACCTCTGCAACCCTGGCTGCATGGTTTAGTTATGCCTCGGGTGCTGAACCAGCCACCTGGCACTGGGGAGGAAGGCAATGGTGCCTCTCTCAGCTGGTGGTCCAGGGTCCAGCAGCCTTGTATGAACGTGGCAGAAGAGAGTTGCTGTCCCCAAAGGTTTCCTTCTCCAAACGCATGGCATGGCACGGTGTTTGTAGGGTTGGAGGCTTCTTGCAGCGTGCTGGGCACCCCGGCTGCAGGGCAGTGCCGTGTTGCAGCCTGGTCTCTGCGCTCACCCGGCTAGTGGCATTCTATAGGGAACAGGAAAAAGGGCGATGTCTCCTGAAGGGGAAGGAGACACCACAAGGTTGGACTGGGGTGAGTGAGGGGTGTGCTGTGGGTAGGACAGGGAGGTATTCCTGGATAGAAAGTCTGCTTTCACATGTGTTTTGTACCCTCTCTCCCTTGGAGGAACATTGCCTGCTCGCCATTGCAGCCACCAGCACCACATCCTTCGCCAGGCTCCAGCCATGCCTGTCCCTCCTCCCTGCCTGTGTGCCCAAGGGCAGCAAGAAATGAGCCCGAAGGCCAAGCACAGGCTCTGTCACCCCAGACAGGCTCCTGAGCCCTGCAGAAGCCAGCAGCGGGGAGTCTGTCCGTGGGGCCAGCGGCCACCTCCTCCCACCGCAGTGCACTGCACTTTCCTGCCCTCCTGGCTGTCTCCCCCAACTCCGTCTCATTAACTCCATAACTCTCCCACCCCCTCTCCCTCCACCTCGTTAGCTCCATATCCCCATCTGCCCCTTTTCCCTGCACCTTGGCCACAGGTCCTTCTTGCTGTGCTGAATGGGAGCTCCCTTCTTGCAGCCCCTGGGGTGGGTTTGGCTGGGTTTTGGGGACTGCTCTGCACCCCTGGCAGGCACCAGCATCAACCGGGGGATGGCAGTCACCTACTCCATCCATCCAACCCCAGCAGCACATGCCAGGGGGGGAACTGCCCTGTGGTGGTCAAAAGGAAGGGGCAAGTTGTGGCTGTCGTCTGCTGGGCAGAGCGGGGACCACCAGCCCCATGCCTGGAGGAGCCTGTGCCCAGGGCAGGGGAGACACCTCACTTTGATTCCTCTCAACCTCTAGCCTGGAAACCCTCTTGCCTTCTACTTCATGTCATACCAGCACAGAAATGAGCCCTGCTCCATCCTTTCCTTCTCTGGGGTGCCGGGCTCCTCAGGCTCCAGGGAAAATATACCCCAAAACCTCCCATTCGGCAGTTTCCCAGGTCAGCAAAGGAACCACACCAGGGGCTTGCTGCAGAAGAGCACACGAAAATGACAAGTCTGGAAGGATGTTTTTTTACAAACCCAAAAGCTGAAGCCTATTGGTACAGTATGTATTTGAAAGGGTTAAAGTCACATCTTCCAGTCTTTAATTACTTAACTATTCAATGCTTTCCTTAATGATAAACAGATGGATGTAGTCTAGTTCCTTCCTGTTCTAGCTCCATTGATTGCATTGGACTAGCTGCTGGGCTGAATTTGGCCCCGGCTGTTTATCAAGAAGTCTGCTCCACATTTCAATCTCTCTGTCTACCCACCTCCATCCCCAAGACCATGTGGCACCAGCAGCACCGTAAGGTATGAGCTGCAGCACCGGGTCCCACTCACCAATGGGGCCGGGGCTCAGCTCTGCTGCCTGCAGCTTGTGCAGAGCCCAGCACCCCCAGGGTGTAAAAACCCAAATAAATCCTTATAAAATCCCTTCTGTATTAAAAGCATCTCTTGAAGGGTAAGGACAGGTGCCGGGGGGGATCACCCATGCCAGCTCCAGGTCGCCGCTCACAGTTTCACCCCTTGGTGTATTTTGCCCAGAAGGTCCATAGCGGGGAGATGGAGCATCGGAAGCCCAGTCCCCATGGCAGACAGGGTCTGCGTTTCAGAGCTGCCTCTCTGAAGCTGAAACAACTTCTTGATGCCCAGGGTGCATGGCAACTGCTGCCAGGCAGTCCCAAAGTGAGCAGGGAAGGTCACTCCAAAGCCCTCGAGGAGTTGAAGGTTTCATAGCCTGGGTCCTTGGAGCCCTCCTTTGGTGCCCCGCTGCCCAGCAGCAAGGTACCACCACCTCCTCGATCTCTAAAAGCCGTGTCTGAAAAAGCCAAGTGTTTCTCAGGCCTGATCCTGGCCAGCAAGCGCCACGGGAGCCCCAGGCGCTGCCACCAGTAAGCACAGAGGCAATCTCCTCTGCTGCCAGGGTCCCCAGCCATGGTTGCTGCAGGGTGGGGAGCAGCAGAAATGGCCACCACGATCCAGCACCTTTGAGCAGAGCAAAACTTGCTTGTAAGCCTGAAAAAACAAAAAATCAAAACTAAACTGCCACCCTCACGCTTTGGTCCCAAGCATTGGCAGTGGCACATCCCACTGCCAGTTTCCGCAGACAGCATGGCTGCAGAGCCCTCCCAGCTGTGTGCTGGGGCTGTCAGGCTTCAAACCCCTTCTCTCTGCCCGAGCTCAGCGGGCTTGTCCCCATGGCCCTCTGGCAAAAGGCTGACCAGAAATATCACGTTTATTTACTCTGTACACAAGGCCAACACCATGGGCAACGCACACAAGGGGGTTGAGGCCAGGGGTTAGCTGGAAGCGACTCAGTAGGTCTCGGTGCTGCGGCAGGACGTGTGGATGCGGGGAGGTGAAGGGAGGGAGCTCTTGACCTATTTTCTCTGGGCCCCCTGCCATGGGCAGGCAGGGAGAGCTCTCCCTCGCCAGCACTGCTGGTGCCCGTGCCAGCAGGGAGATTCCCATTGCACCCACTGCCCTGGCACGGGGCTGCTCTCCTTTCCCCTCGCTGGAGCAGGCATGGGGCATCACCAGGTGCCCTCCAGCTCCAGGTCCAGCTGGCACCACTGAGGGCTGACCCTCCAGCCTTCAGACTCTCTTCATTATGTCAGTACACAGCTGCTCCACCACCAGGTCCCAGTGCCTGTCCCCATCGCATCCTAACCACAAGATATGGGCTAAATCCTGCTCTGAAAGTGGCTGTGGGCAGTGTTATCCTTCCTGCAGGTTATTTCCTCTTGCAGCCTGGTGGGCTATTTGGGTTGGGTTTGAGGAACCCCATATTAGTCTTCTAAATTTGGCCTCCTTTTTTTATTAAAAAAAAAAACAAAAAACCAAAAAACCAAATCCTGACTCTCTAGCAAATTGCAAAGCGCATTCCACGTGCACTGGTTGCGGTGTTGGCCGGCGGAGCCTGCAGACAGCTTGCAGTAGCTCTGGAAGGTGTGTGCTCTTCTGTTTATCAAATGAGTGTTAACTCTGCAGCCTTCTGTTGATGATTTAAATGTCATCATCGCTAACTATTTCCCTGCTGCTCAAAACATGAAAGGGAAGTGAAGGCCAGCGAAGGGGGCTTCCTCCTGAGCCCTCAGGTGGGCTTGCTGTGTGGGAAGGGCTTGGAAAAAAACCTTACTCTTTTCCATGAGAAATCACATGGTGCTTAGGATCGGGATATGCTGGGAACAACTAATTAACCCCCGACACCCCTGTCAGCTCTGCAGGCGTCACATGGGGAGACAGGAGCAGGGTGGGGTGTGCTGTCCCGGCCCAGGAGCAGTGGAGCCGGGTATCTCCCCACCGAGCCCATAGTGCTGAGACAGCCCCAAATGGGAGCTGGGGAGGAGCGCTGGACACCGGTGAAGGAGAGGGGGGACAGCCTACGGCAGAGTCAGGTCACAGTGGCTCCTGCGGGGAGGTTTTGCCATCAGTGGGTGACTGGTATTCAGTTCATCGACACTGGAACATTTGCTTTGTTGGCTCGTTCCCTTGGTTACATGGTATATATTAAGTTCTCCATTTGGCTTCCTTATGCAATTAACTGGCGTTCTGTTGCATGGATTTTGGAAACATAATCAGAGCTAAAACTTCGTGGTCAGGCCTGGCCGACTCTGGCGTGCCCAGCCGGAGCAGGCTGCTCCCAGCGTGCGCCGCACCGGGTGAGCACCGACACTGCTCGCTTTCAAGGAGCGATACAAAACACCGCTCAGCATTTGCAGCCCCGAGATTTGTGGAGCAGGGATACCCCAAACTCACCTGCCTGGCAGCAGAGTGCCTGACAGGGTTGCATGCCGGGGTGTCTCTGTGCCCCGGGTGCTTGCCGGCAGCGGCCGCTCGCTTGGCAGGGCTCGCACGCTGCTGGCTCTCTCCACGGCTCACAGATTGTCAAAGTTTTCTGCACATCCCCATCCTGTAGGTATGTATGTGCTGTTCCTCTGCGGCCGTGGGTGTGCATATGGCTGGCTGTGTGGCAACTGTGTTGAATGCCAAAGCAGAGAGGACAATGTGTGTAGTAGCGAAGGGTGCCAGGAATCTGAGTTGCTGGAAAGCCGGGGAGAGGCGACGCTGCGCCCCACGCGCCGGGCTACCAACTGTGGAGACGAGATGAGCCTGGAGGCTGTGGCGAGGGAGGCTGTGAGGGCGGCACGGGCCAGTGAGCCAGCTCCACTCAGGATTAGTCAGTACGGTAGGGTGCGAGGAGGGAAAGGCAATCCATGGCAAAGGGAGAACCTATGGCGAGGGAAGCGATGCCCCACTGCCTGCAGGAGCACGGCCCAGGGCACTGCTGTGGCAGGAGGTGGCACTAGCCACACATCCTTGTCCCTCCAAGGCTGTCGGGGATCCTGCTCTGGGTTAATCCCCCTACTCCCGGTGCTTTTCTGCAGAGGGGTCCTGTTCAAAAGCTGACCAAAGCCTTTCCCAATGTGCTGGGAGGATCACAGCATCTTAATATTGGAGCATCTGGATGTCCCAACCCTGAACCATGCCCCGAAATCCTCCTGTGGCTGAGAGGCACCAGGCACAGAGCACATCCGAGGAGGAACAACCCTCTCAGCCTGTGTTCCCTGGAGCCCCCATCCTGTCTCTCCGCTCCGGACTCTCCCCAACCTCATCCTTCTTGAAGCGCAGTACTCACAACAGGATGTGGGATTGCTTTGGCCTCACCAGGGCTGAACCAGGCAGGGGATGAGGATGCATGTGTCGCAGGTGGCACAGCCCCATCCCAGATCCTGGCATGCAGAACTGCTCTTCCACCTGGGCACCTGATTATTGCCACCTAGAAAAACTGTTTCCTCTTCCTACCTATAAATAGCGCCTCACAGCTGCCTCACTGAGCTTCCTTCCATGGTGTCAGATGATGGCTTTAGCATAAATGATGTTTGCTGTCCCCTCCATTTAATGACCCAGCACTGTGGGGTTTTGGACGATGGCCAGGCTGTGCCTCTGTGGGGATGGATAGCAGGGAGCTGGGCAAGCAGGACAGAACCGGCATGCTGGCACCAGATACGGGGACCTGTGTCCAAACAAAGCCACGGCAGCTCTGGTTTGGGATACAGAGCGCATACAGAAAGTGGCTTCATACAATCTACAAGCCATCAATGGTGGATGTAAAATCCGCATGAGGAACCCTGCACGTTGTCCAGGGGCTGCAGGCAGAGGCAGGGCTGCATGATGGGAGAGGTGTTTGCCTGCTGAGCCCCAGGTCCCGCCGCCTCTGCCGTGCCATGCAGACCTGCCTGCATCCCGTCCCTTGTTTCCCAGAGTGACTCAAATTGTGAGGTTGAGTCCAGTCCCCTCCAAAACTTGCTGTGGAGTGTAACAGCTCTGGATGTTCCAATAGCTAATTGCTTTGCAAATCTTGCAAAATTTTAGACCTCGGTAGCTGTTTATGGCCTGATCCTGATGACCTGGAGTGAAACTGCCACCTTATTTTCCTGTGCATTGTTGCTTATGGGGAAAATTGAAGTTTTTGACCTGTACGTTTACCATTTCTTATTTTAGAGCCTACAGTTGCATCCCTTTTGTTTCAAGCCATTACGTTTCCCAGAGCCCTGCTTTAACACTCTGGGTATGGGAGATTCTTAAGCGTGGGGATCAGTATGGTGTACTGCATTGAGACAGGCTACACCATTTTTTTATGTAAGGGCATCACAACGTTTTCCCCTCTTACTGTGCCCCGCACTCGTACCTTGTTTCCTTTGCACCCAACTAATTCAGTAGAATAAATTACTCTGAATTCCCTGTTAACACAGTCATGCTACTAAGAGATTTAAAAGATATAAGCTGCTGAAGGTGTTTATTATGTTATTATGTACAGACATTATTTTTTTCCTTTAAATGGACCGACCCCCTTTCTTTCCTTCCTGCAGCAGTGAATTCCCGAGGTTAATTACATGCTGCGTAACAAAGGCGTTATTTCTTTTTGTGCCTTCAGTTGTGTTCCTTTTCATGGCTGGAGAAATGAGCCGGGAGAATAAAGGCTTTGCACTGAAGTGCATTAAAGTCAGTGGGCTTTGGCTCATGCCCAGAAAGAAAAGCAGTGCACGGTTTAATTCCAGGGCAGGCTGGAGCGATTGTGTTTAAGGTTTTTCAGCGGTGATGGCGCAGCTTTTAGGTTGGATTCTCGATATTCAGCTATCAGAGGGGACAAGCAAATCCCCCTGGGACTGACAGAGAGCCATAACGCACTGTCTCCCTCTCCCCAGGTGAACGGCAGCGATGGGATGTTCAAATATGAGGAGATTGTCTTGGAAAGGGTAAGTGCTCTTTACTCGCCCACCAGCAGCCTTTGCTGCCTCTTCCCACTCAGCCTCCCACCAGTGCAGCCGGCGCCCCCTGCATCCCCATGCCAGCTGATGGGGAGAGGTCGGTGTCTGCTCCCCACTCTCTCTGGAGGCTTTTGTGGGTGTCGCATTTGTGTTCCCTGCACGGCCCCTGCGGCACGGGGAGAGGTGGGCTTGCTGCTCCCCCGCCCCCACAGACCCCTCCAGAAGGGAGGGAGGAGGGCTTCTCCCTCACCTTCCTCGTTCACACCCTCACCCCCACAAACCCGCCAGCGCGGAGCCGGGGGGTGGAGGCTCTTTGTCACTGCCTTTGCCGGAAAATGGAGGTGCAGGGAGCTCTGCTCATGCAGGCATGCGGGCAGGCGCACCCCACAGCCGGGCACGGGGGACGGATACCTCCCCACCACCAGACTGCCCATTGCTCTGGGGTACACAGCCCGGGGATGCTAAGCGGCAAGGATGGGTCTTTTAGTAAACCGGACTGTAACAGGGGGAGTTTCTGCTCAAGCCTTCTCTTGTCTGTTGGCAACGCAGAGCTGATGGCATGCACCACACTGGCCATGGCTTAAATTAGCTCCCCCCACAGATGGGGCTTATCCAGAGGCGAGCCGGCACCACGCAGGGCAGGGAGGGCTTTCCCCTGGCACCCAGGGAGCGGCAGGAATAGAGGGATGGAGAGGGAGCGGGAAAAGCTGACCCAAGGTTTGCTCCGAGAGGTGGGCACAGCCCTGCCGAACAGGGATGGCTGGGGCAGGAGGCTGCCCGTGGCGCTCCACAGCACACCTTGCCTCCTCCTTGCTGCCACGCCGGGTGGCTCAGCCTTGCTGCGTGGCCAGCGTCACAGGGGAAGACGCATTGCTCGTTATTCTGTTCCTCTGCCTTTAGTCATCTCCCTCCTCCCCTTGGCTCTGCATCTCGGAGGTGGGTGGACGGAAGGTTATCTGGGGCTGCCGCCTCACCCACTGCTTCCCCGGCATGCCTGACGAAACCAGCCCAGGGGATGCTTCCTTTTTGGGCTGAGCGCTTCTCGCTCTAGGCCCAATTTAGAGGCAAAAGCCTTGTTTTCAGGGATTCTTCAGAGCATCCTCTGTCCTCAGTCCACAGCGGGAGCAGGGGCGGAGTGGGCAGGGTTGCACGGAGAGACAGCACTCGTTGCTGCCCCCATTTCAAAGCCCCAGGCAGCGATTCCCTCTCCAGCAGCAAGAAACCATGAGGGAACTTCAGTGCTTAGCAGCCAGGGCCAGCATGGACCATACCCAGGTCCTTCCCCTTCACCTGGTCCCCAGTGAGATCCAACAGTCCCATCTTACTGCAGGAGAAGCACCCTGGTGCCTGCGGGTGAGGCTGTTCCCTTGCTGGGGTCTTTTGGCTCCCAGAGATGACCTCAGTGTACCCCAAAATTGCTGGTCTGTCACTGTTACTAATCCTTGTCCTTGTTGTAAAGAAAAAATGCAGCAGCATTTTGGGGGCAATAACTGAGGAAATGCCATCTGCAGAGGGACGTGGCTTTGGGTTTACCCACCATACAGGTGCCCGCAGCAGGAGCTGCCCCCGTGTCTACATCAACCCCAATGCTGGCTAAGAAATCCCTTGAACTCCAGTTGAAGGTTTATCAAAATGAAAACAAACACCTCCTGGATGATTTCCAGGTTTTGTAGCTAGCATCGGAGCGCACCCTTCCATAGACAGGAACAACGAATGGCTGGAGACCATTTTGCACAGTCTCACCTGTCTTGCTGTGGCCAGGCTGGGTCTCCGGTGACAGTAAGCAGCTTTTTTGACCTGGGCACGGGGTAACCCGAATCCAGCTTAGAGGAAGGAGAGCGGCCTCAGACCTTTCACTGTTGAGTGCCTTCTCGTCACATGCTGGCCAAATCCCAGCCGGCAGGGGAGCATCCAGCAGTGTTGCGTAGTGAGAATCAGTGGCTCCCGGAGATGCCATGTTCTGTGTCATGAGTGGCATAAAGTCAGAGCGGAGACCTCTGTCGCCACAAGAGCTGATGCTGAGCCCAAATTGCTGGGGAGAAGTACAAGCCCCAGCCGGATGCTGGTGCTAGATGATCCTGGGGAGCCTGAGCTCTGGTGTGGCCTTGCTGGCCACAGGCCCCCCAGAAGGGCAGAGCTCCCCATCGCCTAACGCTGAGCACTGGGGCCATGGGCAGCCAGGAGAGTGCTTGGCCCGAGCCCATTTGTGTATGAGAGAGGCGGGTACGATAGGATGTGACTAAGTGTCAGCTCTTCCGCATGAGAAAACAAGGCGAGGAGCCATCTGATTTTCAAGGCAGAGCAGAAAAAGCAGGAATTGTCCACTTGCATCAAGCACGGAGCTGGAAGGAATGCCTGTGAGTGTGTCACTGATGGGGATCCTGTAAGCGGGAGAGGCGGCACAGGGCCATGGATGTTCGTCCTGGGATGCTGCCG